ACGACATTATTTATTTAAATCCAACGCAAGTTAGATCTATAAAAGACTGCGGTGGTGATATATATATATCAGAGAGAATTTAGTCGTAGTCGAATAAAATTTATAATATTTAATTCAATAGACGATGATTTTGAACTATATTACAGATATGTAAGTGCGATTATGATAAGTGTTTTACACTGTTCAGTTTTTCTTAAATAATTCGATACCTTTCAGGAGAAATATAATTGTAGCGCTTTATAAAATTTAATTTTTTTATGAAATTATATACCTTTGTCTAAATAACGTTAAGAGCTTTGATGCCCAAGCTATCTTGGAACATTAACTATTAAGTTTCTGACAAAAAAAAATCTGCATTACAAAGTCGTTTGAAAATCCAAATTAGACCATTATTATGGCGTATTTACAATGATCTATGATAACCGCGTACGGCGTACGGGCGATTTCTGTTCGTTACTTTCATTAGTCATTGATTTATTATCCAATGAAAAAAGCGCGCAGAGGTCACCCGCGTTATGGTGGTACTGATTAAAAAGATTATAAACTAACTGGATGTATCTTAATAAAGAAGTTTAATACATATACGAAAACTTGTAATATCTAAATACTGATTCTAAACATATTCTTAAGACCCACAAGTATGTCTAAAAAAGAAACCAATTGTAGAATCACATGTTTTCTTTTATATAGTTTTTTTTTAGAAAATCATAAATATAAGGTTCTACGACTGCAATCGAAGCTAGGACGTAATTGAAAAATGGGACTTACATAACATCATCAGGATATGGAGAAGCGATATTAAAATATTAAAGTAGGAAAGTTTACTTAAATGCCGTATTACATAACAACATCTAAGTACAACAAACACTGAGCGGTAAGATACACTTCACTGCATGCAATAATTGTGAATATGGCGTGATTCGTTGTGGTGCACTTATTATATCTACCACAATAAGTGTACAACGTACATATACATACATAATGTGTCCACACTTCACAATGTAATTAAGGAATATTCGATCACAGCGAGTATATCAGCTTTGTTGAACCTCTTTAAATTTTGTAAATATTTATTTTTATTTATTTAACGTGAAGTTTGGACACACCCTCCGAAAATCTTATATAACTAGAATTATAATGAGATTATCGATAACGATCTGATAAATAATGAGATCATATTATAGTATGGGCTCTTATGGAATGATTAATATTAATATGACCTATTACTAATACTTATTTTAGAAACATGCGTTAAGTAAACGACTTGATTGGTAAATTGCTAGCGAATCAAACTAGTACTATTGACGTATGATAAGTTGCATGCCACTGCGACTAGTTCAAGAAGGTATATAATTTTTCTAATTGTCGTATTTAGATTGATTATAATATTGGAATGACCAAATAACCATCTTGAACTATCGTTCATAATAAACCCTAAGAGCATGAATAAATTTGAGTATTTGGTTGCAACAAAAGACCTGTTAGTTTAATTTTAAAATCTATCGCCACCCCTTTCAAAGGTACAGCGATTTACAGAATTATGTACCTTTTAAAGTTGCAATCGCTTTTGGAACGAATGATGATTTGAATGATCAACTCTTTCGTTTGACATTTCTTAATAGGTGTCAAGCATTTTTTTAATGTCAAATTACCGATATCGTTTATTAGATATCATAAAAAAACCGTCGATATCACATGTCAAATAATCTTTCAAACGTCGAATTGAAAAAGATTGAGATAGATTATAAAAAGGCCTAATTGTCTTTTGTTTTCGTTTGCGTTCTTGTTACACATTCAATACTCGCAACGAGATCACACAGTAGCAAGGTCATCATTATTTAATAATATTCCATACGAATACTTTTTTTATACTTATCATTATCTATGACGGTAGTGAAATACCAACTTACAACTACTATTATTAAAAACCTTAAACACTCTATTTAACTTATTCAATACACAACATTCATTAAACTGTAAAAAAAAAAGAAAAAAATTAAATGCAACATAAACAATCGACTTGAATAACAGAGAAATAACTTTTTAATAGCGCAGTCTTAGAGTGACGTCACTAAAATGGAATATTTTCCATAATAGCACAGTCGCCGAACAGAGAGGATTCCGTATAATGACCCGACATTACATATCTCTTTCACTCGCGCACAAACATATTGCTGTAGCGCTCACATAGTTACATCTAGCGAATTCTGACACACTAAAGTGAATCTAAAATGTTTACGATATCTATCAGTGTGGTTCGCAGACCGTGCTATAGTTACTCTTGTGACGTCGCAAATGGAAAAATAAAGTGCTTAAATGTAAAGGAAAGTTAACTTTAACTTATTCGTTTGCAAAGCGCCCATTACCATTCGTCTATATTTTGATTGGGTGTGTGATATTTTTGTACGAAACTCTACTGGTTTGTATTGGTATTAACCGCAAATATACATAAGTATAAATCAATTATTATTATTTAAGGCTTACATAACGAACTGTAAGTAACATTTCGCAAATAAAAAAATTTAATTCATAAATTTCACTAATATCCAAAAATTACAATAAACTAATAGATTCTTCGTTTAAAAATGTTGGTAAGATTATTATTTTTTATCGAAAAAATGCATTTCTGATATTTACTTGGTTTGGTTACCGATATCAAGAATAAAGGTGATATAACAAAATTAGTTATTTCATTGTAGTATGTTTATATACTTAAATATTTTAGAAATGTAATTTTAATAAGGAAATCCTTTTTAATATAAATATACTAAAAACATAATATTATTTCTATTTGCGCGCCAAAATCACAACTACTTATGTAAATGTTTTGACACGCACATCGATTACATCAAATACTCTTGAGGTTTAATAGGTTTGATTTCTAGCGGGTAATATTATTTTAGAGCCACGAGCGATGAGTACCGCTGCTACGAACACACTATATACACTTAACTCTACCTGTGCAATTATCTCTTCAATTTTCGCTCAGTTTTCATCAGTCGTTGCTAATTTATATTTGCCAGGTTATCAAATATTTATTTATAAGTAAAAATTGAAAATTTACTACTTATAAAGTAGTTTAATTAATGGAATTTATGTTTCCTTTGACATTAATAATCAAATACTAAATGTGACTGGTCCTCCGTTTATTAAGTATTAGATAGATCTACATTGATTAGGTAAAGATAGCATTTTGATGACACTTTTACAATTACAAAACTACTACACGGACATAAACACCAATTCGGTATTTTAACGTTAACATATCAATATAATAATTCAATATTTTTTTTTACAATTTAGTTAATGTATTACTACTTTATAAATAATTTGTTATAGATAACACCAAATTATAAAGACAGTTACTTACAACAACACGGACAATCGTATCAACTCCAATAAAAAGTGATTATGAATATTTTCATTTAAAAAAAATACAGAATCATCAATCAACTTTTAATTGATACAAATAGAATTATATTTTGTAAAATTCTTTTTTGACAACACCGAATTGGTATTCTTCAACATAAGAAATTTTATTTTTCTAATATTTACGTTTCCCGACGTGGCCAATGTAATTACACAATACATTCGGCTATCATGAAATATATAGAAATATAGAAGAACATTATAGGTTCTTAACCTAATGCAAAAATTGCATAAACATGTTCCCACGTTCAAATTCACATCACTATACGAGTCTAATTCTCATGTCATGAGCGTTAGAAAGCATTCTACCCAACACTAGCATACTACTTTACAAGTATCTAGACATTGCATTGTATAAAAATCAATCGAGACTTTAAAGGGAGACATGGAAGTTTGGAACACTACCAACAATCACAAAGAAGACCCTGCAGTAATTAGAATACAGTCAAGAATTAGCATAGAAAATGTACAAAGGGGGAACCTTTAAATTGAGACGCAATACTTTACATATAAATATTTACTATATATAATTAAGTAAAATCTACTTTTAAATTATATTATTTAATGAGAGTTCGTAATTTTTAGTAGTGAAAATTTTCGGCTAAGTATTGAGCATCAAAGAGTTGTCGAAATATCTATATTGGCAGGTTCGAGCAATCACCATAGTAATTTATCGGCTTTGATATAATTTAAGTTTAAAAGTGTAAATTACTTCCATACTCGCATCACAAGTCTGTGATGCGAGACCGAGTCTTCACCTGCTAGATTTATACGTATATTTACTAGGCTATTATACGAATTAGAGTTTGCCATTGTTTAACAAGACAGATTATTAAGATCTAAGTGCATCTCTGGCTAACTTACAGTACGGCGATTGGATGTCAAACTATTTAGTTTAATAAAAAACAATAGGCCATTATACCAACAATATAAAGCTGTAGTTATATTGTTAATGAGGACATATGACATTAAGATACATTTTTGCTTAAATCAAAAACTATCCCAGTTTATTAGTTAATTATTAATCTAAAATTAAATGGAAGTTGAATATCTTTTATATAAAATAAATATTTATGCCAAGAGGTGTTGTGTTATATCGTTAGCCGAAGATGAATCTTCATTGACTAGCACTCACATATCTATTCTGATCACGAGTACGTCAAATACCTTGTTCCTATGTTCACAGAACCGATAACCTAACCATGAAAATACATTACCATGTACTCAATCACTTATCCAAATTATCGATAGACAAAACGGTGGCCGTTAATCGACTCTGAATAAGATCTATTCAGTATTTTTTTGGGACTGTAATTAACATTTTTCAATCCTTAAGTATTTTGATTTTAATGAAGATCAATGATGTAATCTTTAATCGGACGGGTTTATAAATGTATAGTTTTTGGAGTAACTATGAACATTCTGCAATTTTTTTAACTATATATATGATAAGTATCAGATCACATATCATACATCTATATCTAAAATGATACTTATGTATACGTTTAGATAATGGTAATCGTCAATTACAAAAATGTGTTTATTTTTAATTTTCTTTTCTTCTTTCTCTTCAATTTAAGTCGTAGTTATTATCAATATTGAACTTATCGGTTAGATAAAATTTTATTTAATAAAGAGACGAATTTATTAGAAATTTTGATAGAACTTTCGTTTGATTTTGTTTGATGCGACGTCATGCTCTATTCGTGTTTCAATAACAATGTCCGAATTACTGAAATACACGTTAGGTTGTTCAAAAATATTTACAATAGACATTAAGAACTATACTATAGCCAATTACCAATTTTTTGTTTTAATTTAGCGCATAAGACCCTATATTATTTTAATATTTCGAACATTGCTACTCATACTGCAGCTTTCAGTAAATACTCTTCATAGATAAAATATACTTAAAAAGAGATATTATACTGCCATAAACGCTAAATTCCTACACATTTACAAGCTTAAATATATGTGTCTTCTACTCACTTTAAAGAGATACAAAACTAGTAATGTCTTTTGCACAGTTTCCGGTAAAAAAAAACCAATGAAAATTCGTTACAATCAACTATGAAAAAGACATTACATTAAACTTTACCAAGAAAACATTATAATGTGAGTAACCTCATTGTAAAAATAGCTTCGAGTCTTTTTTAACTCAATCGATGGTAAAGATTTACTTCGGTATACAATATACAGAAGGCATGCTACGTATTCTACTAAATGGCGCTGGTAGAGCATTATAAACTCAAATTGATGCAAAACAAAGGAGTTTAAAACTCACATTGGATGTTCTTACAGTACACACAAACAGCATATTAAGTTTCTACAAAAGTTCAATTCTCGGCAATCAATCTTGAACTTTAACTATCGGGAGATTAAAGACTGAAACCAACTGAAAAAATGGTGATTTCTCAGTTACCCCTTTACCATATTACCCGCCAATACAGGCCCGGATCTAGGGAGGGGTAAGTGGGAGCAGCGCCTCTCCCGGGTGCCATTTTTAGGGGGACGCCTAAATCATCATTAAAGAGTACCTTTTTACAATAAAAAAAAACGACCTTTACAAATCTCTTCATACACATTATAGGCTACGATGAGACGGACATGCTTCAAAATCCCCAAACAAAATTAAACTATCGTACACTGTTAAAATGTGATTATATAAAATCCGGGCCTGCGCCGATATTCAGGGTCACCTAATCGGGCATCCTGCCAATGTTGGCCAAATGCACTTGTAGTCAAGAGCCTCTCTCGAGCCATTCGTCGGCGTTGGTTAGGGCGCTTCGGATCTCGCATTCCGATGTCGCAGTAGTAGTTATAGCCACCTGATCTATGGCGTCTAGGGTACGGGAGACTGCCATCATGCGCTTGAGGAGATTCTTCGTTGAAAGAATCAGAATCTGATAACGAGAGAATACTTTGTCTATATTACATTCGATAATTACAAATTCCACAAAATCTACTTCTGGTAGATTTTGTGGAACGGCTATGCCGCGGGACAGTGGTGATACACTAGTTTTTTTCTTTGCATGTTATTCTCAGTAGGCTTGCATGCGAGTTATAAGGTCATGACATGATCCAACTTCGTTTTAGGTTGGGTTAATTAAGAAACTGTTTGAATATTGTGCTGCATTCGTTGTTTGAGATTTGCATAATATAAGGGTTTAAGCTTCTTGCGATCTGAATAATACCATACCACCTGCTCTAACAAAACAACATAATATAACAGTAGTTCATGATGAGTATCATCTTTTAAACCAGTGGTTCATTATGAGGCTTGTTAAATTATTATTTTTTTCAAACTTTAAATGTCATACAAATTTTTATCTAATCAAAACTTTAAGAAATAAGTTTGTCCCTTTTATTAGCTTTATAAACGACGTAAAATTCGTACAAACTTTCATGTCCTATTTCAACCTATTTTATCCTTTTTCGTCATAAAAAAAGTAGCGTATGTACTTTCTCAGGCTCGTCAATTTAAATTTCATTTGTATCGGGTCAGTAGTTTAGGCGTGATTGCGTAACACATAGACAAGATTTACTTTCGCACGTATATAAGTTAGGTATTATACCTTTATTTCGGAGCGCAGTGGTAATATAGCAATAAGCCACCACAGCCAAGCGGGACCATCGGGACTGTAGCACCAGTTCTCTTGCACGTGCTCGGTGCGAGGGATCTGTCCGAATGAGTTCTCTATCTCTTGTCGCACAGTCTCGTTCATACTGTTCAGCCACATCAGAGCTTTACATAAGATCTGCGAGCCCATTAGACGCATTTCCAACATGACGAATTCGTCTGTTGGCGTAATATCTGTCAGCGGCTGGATACGAGCGACGTCACATCTATGAAATGAAAGAAAAACATCAATCTTATACAAACTATTGTTATGAAAAAAAAACATTAATAATTATATCAAACATTTCGAACAGCTTGTTATTATTGTTTGTATTAAAGTGTACAAAAATTTTAAATATTTAAAACATAATTTTTACTAAATCAATAATAATTTTTATTCGCAAGCCTATTTTAACATGGCGCTATTCTGAGGTCCCGAATTCGATTTCCATTCGGGCCAATGTACACAATGGACTATTCTATTTTATTTCGTGTCTGCGTGTTGTGGTATCTCGAAATCCGAGCAATGTATGCGATGTCATCTTATTTATTTGCTATATATTATAAAAAAAAAAAACAAAAATAAAATTACTATGTTTAGTTAGATTCTCCATAAAATATCAGCTGTGACTAGAATGTTATAAAAACTTAAAAAATATATAAATATATATATTTGAGTATATTACTTACCCATCCCTTACATCTCTCTCGATAACCCTAAAGCGGGAAACACCGACAGTGGAGAGAAAAGATCGTCCATCTTCCAAATGGACACAGTCGCAAACCTCTAAAACCTATAAAAATATTAATATTATATTATACTATAACTAATCAATAACTGGCACTAATGAAACTATAATAATTAAAGGATATCGAAAGCAACTTATTATGTTAAGTTCGACATCCAACTACATCGGTAAACAGAACTTTTAAACGTAAAGCTAGGCAGGTAAATGTCAAATGTCCGTTTGGCAAATTACTCATAATGTGGAGCTGATAAAAAATAAATATCTTATGTCTTGGTAACCTGGTGTTCTAAGTATCGTGGCCTCAGATAATACGCGTGGTGGTGGCATAAATGAAACAGTTTGATATAATGCACTTAGATTTTTATTATAATCATCAGCGAGATCCGCCATATAGTTTAAAAAAAAAATTAAGTACTAAAGTTATAGCGAACGACACTACATTGACAAGTGCTGGCGGTAAGAATTGCCAGAACTCAATCAACAATTTATAACACCTTGGAACAAAAATAAGTTGAAACTTAAATCCAGTTATTTTATTTGTATAAGTTAACAGCCAGCAATGAAAAAACAACAGCTGTTCATGTCGCCTCATAATGACTTAATGTTTAGAGCGTAATTTATGTTGTATCTACCTTCATGTAGAACGTCATATTTATTCAATTTTGTTTACAATTAAATAGAGTCATTCAATTAATGGGCTAGCACTACAATTTGAGTATTTCAATTGATAAACCCCAAAATAGCACCTGCCAGGGCATTTGACTGAAACATTAGCTGATTATGATAGCATACTCAAATAATAACTTTACTCTAAACCGACCTCTCAATTTGCTAAGAAATGTTATAAAAAAAGACCTGATTCTTAGGCTCACAAATAATATAAACCCCAAAATAGCACTATATATAGCACAAAATATATATATATATATATATATATATATATATATATATCTGTTTAATAACCCACTCGTTATTGTATCCTCTTTTACTTTTTATTTATTTTTTCAACTACCTTTGGAATTGCTGCTAAATAATAAGGTCGGCTTTTGTGTACTGTTTAAACGTAACTAACATTATCTACATTGGTGAACTGTTTATGCACCAAGAATAACTTTATACTGATTAAAACTGTTTCGTTTTACCAACCGTCGTTTATAAACTGATCTGAACAAACAGACGGGACATTCCGATCATTATTTAAAAATATTTCCTTACCGTTCCATAGTCAGAATAGTTCTTATTTCTCTCGTAAGCCACCATGCCGAATTTCCGCGAGCCTGACTCCAGTACGCGCCGTATCATAAGCCAATAGCGCGGGTCGAAGATAAACAGCGGACACGGAATACTATAATATAAATATTATATATTATAAATATACAACTTAAATATATATATATATAGGTTCCCGTAGGTGTAAGAATTTTCATGATCGACGACGATTACCCTACAAAGAAACAAATAGGAAATATGCGTCTGATTCAAGAGTTAAATATATTTTATTGCGATCAGTGTTGCTTTAGAATAGTCTATGTAAATATTTTTCAACATTAGTTAATTTTTGTCCTGAAAATAATTAATAAGAAAGGGCAAAAAAAATGTGGTAACTGCAAAATATTCAAACGCCATGCTACTTGTCAGAGTGGATGTGACGAAAATGTACACGCATAGGGATGTCGTTGTTACAAAAAGTTAACGTCGATGCAATAATATCAATGGTTTATGTTGCAAAATAATCACCAGATTACATTTAAATGTTTTAGGCTTATTTCACCTATTTGGTAAACTATTTGATCATTATATTTGATCTCAACATACACTCTCTCTTGCACACACACTTATACTCACACATACACACACACACACACATGGAATAATGATTTCATAATTAATGATGAGTCTTGTATTTGTAATAAAGATAAAAATATATATATTTCCTAAGCAACTACAAAATACTCGTCGACCTGAGAAATTGCGGAAGAGCAGTTCTTCCTAATACGAGCACAAATATTGTTGTTCAAAAGGAAGTTCCAAACGCCTAGAGTAATAGAATAAATTTAGGAAAAATAAACATTTTATTTATTTATTTATTATTATCCAAGTCGAATAGAACATCGGTCACTCACTCGATTAATAATTCGTTTAATCGATCATTATATAGTGTATATTCCGATATCTATCATTCAAATATAGAACTTAGATAAGACAACAACTCTGTTTTTTTTTTTCACGGAATTAGACAATACTTTCGTATTTATATGTATCACAAATAATAATAATCTACACTAATATTATCATTACAATAAGGAAGTGGGTTTGATTGTCTCTTTTTCACATCGCGACGGAGTGTAATTATGGTATTATGAGTTAGATACTTGCCTTAGGAGGCTTGAGCGAGATAGGCTACTTTTGACCACAAAAATACCATGATAATAAATCCTTTAATTAATTTTAAAAAAATATATACTTACGATGGGTATGCAACGGTGCAAACAAAAATAGGTATGACGTCAGGATCTAATGGTAATGGCGGTTTGGATGCATCAATTGCGTCCAATGCGGCTTTGACGAATGTCGTCTCGTGAGTCTGTTGGAAAATAATTGTGTGTATTTTTTAAACATTAATCTAATAAAAATAAAGAGGACTTATGAGTATTATATACACATTAATTGATATTAAATACACCAATTGGTTGATGAGAATTCAAAAATTTACTAAGATATTAACGTTTATGATCCTTATTAGAAAACGAAACATATAAGATGTAAGCGTCGCACAGAAGCAACAAGATTGGAGAGCGGTACTACACATGTCATTGATTAGGAAAAATTCGTAGAATTTATTGTTCCATCTATATTTAACATTATACTCATTATATCTGACATTCCATGTCTCCTTCACCTTCTTCAATCTCGCCTCGCCCAATTAATTACGCTCGAAATATACCGCCTACTATTATAAGTCACGTAGGAAGTCCTTTATAAACTTAATCCTTATTAATTTATTTGTTTATTATAAAATTAATATTTATTCAATAGAAACATTTTCATTTATAAAATATATTGTGAAGAACCCTTTCAGAAAATCATGAAATAGGTATTAATCGAATTTCAACATATTCTGATGGCACAGTAAGTAGCGCATTGGGTCTACTATTATATACGTTAAACTTCGGTTAAATACGGTCAGCAGATAGGTATTTACTATTGCGAGCTCATAAATTAGCTTAGCACAGCACAGCACTGTCACAGCGTAGCTGTGCTCGACTTCAAGTTTTTATAAAAAAGAACTGGCAGAAGGTACGTTGAACCGTTGACCTCACTGTTATTCAGTCGTTACCACCTACCATTTCGCACTAGTTTTTACTAGTCCTTCTAAGGGGGTATATTAATAGTGTTGTCGAGTGATTACTTTTCTGTTAACATATCGAATAAAAAAATAAACAATTTTGCATTTACCGTTGACAGATCAAAGTCATCCAGTGACCTCAAGCACAAAGCGCAGCTCTTCCTATAGTCGAGCGCCCGTTCGATGCAAGTCCTGCAATAAGTATGACCACAGGGAGTGGTGACCGGTTTAATATACGTCTGATAGCATAGCACACACTCCAGATCGTTCGGTCGGATCCAGCTGGCGGCCGATTGGAGACGTACCGATCTGAAGAGATCGCGGGTAATGCGACGAGGATCCCGACCTTCAGCGAGAACGACAATTATCTGTAGAAAAAATCAAAACAAGCCGTATTTTATGCTTATATTAAAAATCAAATTGCTTAAGCTAAGGGTGAATAAATTTAAACAGAATATTTGTATAAATCAATTGTCACAAGTGATTCGCGACATGGTTAACTGGAAATTAACTTAACTGGAACTGGTATCACTATATTTTGTGAAAAGAGAGAAGTTGGTCGAAAATCAAATTAAATCGAAAGGACGCCTCAAGTACACCTAACTGTTCTTACATAATTTGTCCAGTTAAGTATTGATTAACTAGTGTCACTAATAGTAAGTCTGTTTTTGTGATTTTAGCACCTAAAGCCAAAAGGCCCTGTCTATGGTTGCCCGGCAATGAAATGGATAAGGATAGAGGATGAATTGAACGTCATAAACTGTTTTTCATTAACAACTCGTTAAATACTAAGATTCGGCTTCAAAATGACTTACATACTTTTCAAATTACCCTATAAAAATGATATCATTACAACAAAAAATGGACAAAAATTAACGGGAACTGTGATTTTTTTTATCAAGAATTTTAAATTCACCTTGCGACTGGATTAGTTTAGTTTCTAATTACAGTTTATAATGCCCATTATTTATGTACACAAAACTAGATCAAAGTTTGTGAGTTTTGGTGTATGCGGCCTCTTTAATTTCATAATTAAAGAGGCTTTCTTTCATTTTCAAGATTGGAGAACTATTTAGGTTTCCTACCTAAGGAAAATTTTAATATATGTTATATAAAAATTAAAAGTATGAGATGATATTCATTTATGGTTTTTTTTTTTGTATTATGCTGTGTTCATATTTATTTTCCAGTCCAAACGTCCAACAAGCCATCACTACAATGACACGTGTCGATTGGGGTGAATATCAAATGAGGGCGTACACATAAAACCAATTTTTGATACTAGTGACCTTCACTAAAAACAAGTCACAGTAGAATAAACGATGAAACATTTCATATAACAAATGTAAATTTTAAGAGTGCGACCCGAGAAAACACTCTACATCATTTATTAATTCTACCTATGGGGAGCTTTTATGAACAGTTGTCGTGTAGGACGATTGTGTGCTACCAGGATCTCTTTACCTGTGCCAATAGTGTCCTTGCGGTGTAAGCCAGGGGTCCGGAGGAAACTGCAACTCGAGCGAAGTGTGGCGCCGCGTCACGGTACCGACCCAAAGATAACATCTGACGTGCATACTCAAACTGGATCTAAACAAACCAAATGTAAATGTTTAACATTTTAGAGTGGAACGTCATGGTTCCATTTGTTTATTAAAAAATGGCGTAAGTGTTATAATATTTTTTTTTTTGATAAATGACAATTTTAATAATCCGTAGTACAAATAAGAATAAAGTGATTGTAACATAATATAAAATTGAAAGCTTGAAGGCACAACATGAACTCTTTTCACAAAACGGGCAATCTCCTTTAGATGATAAAAATCTTGTTCTACGAGTATATAATTGCCATCAAGTTTAGATTAAGTATCTCTTTCTGATTTTTTACTGAATAAATTAATTTAGACAAAACTTATTGAGGAAAGGAAATCTAAAAACCCACCCTAAGTGAAAAAAGAAAACATAAATGAATGTAACCTGTGGTGACATCGGCATACGTTCGTTGATATTTGGATAGGTAGCACGAATTCTCAAAGAGACCAGCCCGCTACGACCAGACCGAGAATGATCACGTCGCCTGGATTTTTTTGGTTTCGAACACATTGCATCTGTGAACAACACGTTATTTTTTTAAATATAGCTGGTAAAGAAAGTGCCTTTTTATTAATAAAATTTCAAATAGAATTGCTAAGAAAAATAATAAACCCCGGTAAGCATAAAATAATATCACGGAAAACGAAGTTAAATTCATTCAATATTTTTATCTGTTTTCGAGGTACTTAAGTGTAAGGAACTTAAGAAGGCAGAAATGACAACCTTTCGAGTGTAGTGCATATTATATGCATTCAATGTTACATTCGGATTTATCATATAGAAAAATAGTTACAATGGTCAAGCAAATCTGTTTGCATTCGATTGCGTAAGACGGTTGAATTTGTTAAGTATTTTTCTTTTATATTTCTTAAGAAAAAAATGTCCATAATACAGCAAAGTTCAAAGAGTAAAGTTCAAGTAGAAACAAAAAGAAAAACTTCAAAATAAGAAAAGTAAAATTACCTACTGTAAAATAATATGTTATTTACCCGACTGCGCGACGCAAGGGAGGGTACTGTGTTCATCAGTCTATGTATGTATGTATGTTTGTTTCTATGTGGCTTTGAGACCAAATGCGTAGGCCGATTTTGATGATTCTTACGTCAATCGATTCGTTTTATCTTTGCGAGTGTTACTGACAGTAATTTAAATTCACTATGGCGACACCCAGACGCCATATTGTCAAAATGAAAAAAAAAAACGATGAACTATGTCATTTTTCATTTTTAATAGTAATTTAGGATATATAACGATTTAAAGTTGTTTAACAAATTTTATTACTTATTGATTTAAAATTTTATTTAAAGTATAAACGATATACAAAGAAACAAAAATGAAAAAGCATGAAGAACAAATATTTTTGGTAAAAAATAAAGCATATTTAGCTTTGAGCCGAGTTAATGTAAAGAGTTAAACAAAAGATTTAAAGAAAAACAAAAAACTCGACTGCGTAAAAAAGAATTTTAAGAAAACTACTGGGCTTGTTTCTTTCTTTTAAGTTTTTATTTAATTTTTTCATGTATTTTTTAAAATTCGTTTTTACGCAGTCGAGTTTTATGTTTTATTAGTGTCTACTGTTCACATACCCGTATATGCATAAATATTTTATGTTTTTAATAAACCTATTCGAGTGTCCTGACTGAACCTTTATTCATTATCATCAGCCCGTTTACGTCCCCACTGCAGGGGCTTAGGCCTTCCTTGTGACTGGTTAAGGAGGATGGGCCATGAACCTCCACGTTGGCCCAATGCGGATTGGAGGGTATTAACGACTGCAAATACAGCCGGGACGAACGGCTTAACGTACCTTCCGAATTTTCACCCATCCCGTGACCGACCACAACAACAATGATCGCGGCCGCGACGCTTATCCTCTACGCCACCGAGCTACTTATTTAACTTTTATTATTATATTATATTAATATATTTTATCATGTTATTATATAATATATTTAGTTAATAATTTAGATGGCGGAATACGTTCAATGCATAGGTCGCCACCAGGTAGGCCGACGATCTAACAAAGGTTACGAGAAGCCGCTGGATGCGGACAACGCAGGGACTTATCGTATTGGAGACCTATGAGGAAGGCTTATGCTTATAATTTATTGTACCTATTGCTTCTCGATATTATTTCTGCTACGTATTCAAAAAAATATATTATTTTATTCTCTATTATTTGTGATAGTACGTTTTTTTTATTTATTGTCTTGCAAGTTCATCAGGCGCGCCGGGAACTCTCTTACCAACCGGCGCTGCTAGACTGTGTTATGCTTGTATTGCACGGTAATGTTGACAGAGCTGAGACCCGCTGGGATTAGCCTGTGGGGACGGTCCACCGTCTGGGAAAAGGTTGTTATTCAACCAAGTATTTTCCTTCCCAACGACTCCTCCGGTTCATTCTATATTATATGGGTTCTTCCTTCATTATATGGGTTCTTCCTTTATTATATGGGTTCTTCCTTTATTATATGGGTTCTTCCTAATCGCATAAGATGAACCGCAGCGGGTTTTATCAGGTAGTTCAGGGGCCAGGATGGATTCATCAACTCCAGGACTATAGGTGCAATCAGGTGAATCATTTATCCCTAAGTAAGAGGGTGTAACCATAGTACACCATAACGTATGGTTTTGAGAGGATAATCCTCTGAAAACTCATGGGAAATAGGAAACTACAAGGTCAGGAGCATCACCTTATTGCGAGTTATCCCGGTCTTTGCCTGTCGTTAGTTAACTAACCGAATTCAGTTTATTCGCACGTTTTTGTTATTTGTAATCTTCATGAAACCTATGCGAGCGAATACGATTTGCTCATTGTTTTGAATGCAACAAAATTTTAAAATGTTTGAATTTCTTCATTCCTATGCCCTGTGGTGTGGCCCATCCAAGCATTTATTCACTATTCCTTTAAATCTTCGTAGAATTTAGTACGCTGGCTTGATATAAGGTATATATATATATATATATATATATATATATATATATATATATATATATATATATATAAAAGAAGAGACGGAACTAATTTCTATAAAGTAAACAACATCGAAGAGAACGAGGAAGAATAAAAAAAATTTTTTCTCTATCAATTCAACCAAGTTAGTGCAGTCACATTATCATCATTGTGGTCATCATGTCCAAAATAGACAATCCTATAGAGTGAATACTAACCAAGCGGCCGATTTGATGGATTGATAGATAATGACATTTTCAAATGCAACCGGAACTGAAAGTTTAAAATGCCTACTGTAGCATAAATGAGTCGGAGATAATAAATATTCAATTTTCATCCATCAAATGACGGGCCATTGCAAAAACTAGTTAATAAAACTGCCTCTTCGAGCTTTAAGCCCTTAGCATAAGCTATATATAGTCGTTGTTTCCAAATTCTATAAGCTAAGAAAAAATACCAAACGCAATATATCTATAATAAAGAGGAAAGATTTGATTGTGTGTTTGCATTTAATAACTGACTGATCCACTTATCTATCAACGCACAGCTCAAATAACTGAACGGATCATAAGTGAAATTTGGCACACTAACAGCGTTTTAATACATAAAGATTACGAAAGTATTTTGAAAAACTCAACCTCTTATAGGGTTAAATCATATATCAACGCGCGCGAAGCGGCATCGTTTTCAATAAAAACTATAAATAGACATGTTGTGTATACATATCGATATTAAAGCAAAGCTCGAGTGTAAGTAGTTGCCATCTCATTATTTACATAAAAGATTTGTTTCGACGGACACAGCCATAACCGCTATAACGATAAAACAATGAGCGAATACAAAACAGTGTTATTGTTTTATCAATTATTACGGTTGCAAAACGGATGTTGCTCGGTTTCGTCAAGCGCTCGCAGTGGCTGGTTTTCTATTGGAGAGATTGCAGACCTTGACTTCATTATATTGCTTCAGTGAAGGGAGGATTCACTAAACTCACAATACCATGATTTTTGTTTGTGCAATTTTCAAACAAGCAGCCGTATTGCATAGAAGATAACATTATTATAAGTATTTAGTAGTTCGGCAAATCGATTCTACTACAACAAAGTCTACCTTATTTCGTATAATATATCATGTATTTAGTTTATCGCAATCACTACAATTAATAATCTAATTCTATATACGACTTCAAATGGTTGAATAGTTTAAAAAGAGTCATAATAGTGAATTGTTTATAATAAATTGCATATATTTATTTAAAATGTGTACCTATATTACATATGTTATTGAAATACGTTATTGGTATGTAAGTACGATATAAGTTAATATACGGGTAAGTTATATTTATTTTTCAAGTTTTCTATACAATAAGTACCTACCTGTAAATAATACCCGTGAGCCTCAAAGGATGATTAAATCCATCATATACTTTACCTAGGTAATTAATGTATCCGGCATTCGTAACAATATTTGGTAATGTATAGAATATCATATTACACAGATTGCCGGTTATTTAACACTTCTGAAAGCCATTGAAAAAAATCGAGTCGAGTCGCAAACGGAAACAAGTACCTACATACTGAAAGGTTTTTTTGACAAGTCTCGGACAACTATCCAGCTATCTAGAGTAATACGAGAAGTATCCCAATGAGCCTGTGACATTTGTATTATTCGCTATATAATACTGTTACATAAGCCTGAACACAAAGTCTGCGTTCTATTATATAAGAAACAGTCGCGAGTGATTGGCATACGCGGCTAAATAAATAACTAATTTTAGAAGCTACAATTTTTCCCAAAACCCGTTACTATTATAACTATTTACAGTAAAACTATTATATGTTTAAAACGTATTCTTTAAATAACATAACATATACTATAGATGAACAGTTTTAAGCCGACCTAATCGTTGCTATTTTAAATTGAGCTTAAACAATAATAATTGGATATTATTTGTAATTTCATTGGAATACTAATGATTACATGATCCGAGTAGGAAGTTCGCTTGTTGCTCGGACGCGTATCGTGTCACATAATTCAAGTTCTATATCAGCTTGACAACGTACGGCCTTACGGCTTAAGCTAGTACACAAGTGTCGGTCATTAACATTATTCCAATCTATATGAAAAAGACTTAAAAAAGTTTACATCACAATCAATAAAAAAACAGTTGATGCCCTTGAAACTCACAACAAATCGATAAATCTGTTACATAATACATTTTTTCTTTATGTAACAATCTTTTCCACTTCAGAAGCTTAATAGCTATTACAGCATATAATTTCAGAATCCGTCATTTTACAATATTTAACAAAGGGAAAACTCATTAATATTCAAGGGCATGCTATTGAATAACGACGATCAATTCTAATACGCATTTTGGAATTATGATAACCACAATGAGTTACGAAATATGTCATGTAACACGAATAAAGATATCAATTATGCCGAAATATGTACCTAGGCTAGTCTGGTTACGTGTCCACGGATTATTCTGCTCCTTAATGGCTGTCCATATATCCAAACTAATGGCTTGATTTTGCTAAATTTATTTCTTTAATTATA